ATAATAATAAAATAAATAATAAAATACAATATTGGAATAATAAACTAATAAAATAATAAACTGTTCTATAACAACATGATAAATCAGAATCAACTAATGATTTTTCACCAAACACTCATACCATCAAGTTAATGTGCTATACAATCTATAATTCCTTATTTGATTATTGGAATGAACCATTAATAGTTGGTTTGTTGGTATCACTTTTGGATTCATGACTAAAAATACTTTCTAGTTGGAATGAAGAAGCTCAAGAAAAAGCAAAAACTGAGTTAGCTCGTCAATTCAAAAATATAACTGATTCAAATTATAAACAAACAACAATATCAATATATACTACTTCCTCAGGTGATAGCAATATTTGCCGCAATTGTTTGCACTCCTCTATTTTTGGTACATCTACTTCCACCTATACTGCTTTCAATCCTTTGGCCAAATTAGAATGCTATTTGGATCCTACACAAACTTCTATTGCTAATGATAATGTAAATCTATTTGAATAGTAGGCAATTTGGAAAACAAAATTTCCTAACATAGCAAAGTTAGCAAGAAAGTATCTATCAATTCCTGTATCATCTGTATCTAGTAAAAGGCTGTTTTCAGATGCTAGTAATTGTATTACTGCAAAGCGTACATAGCTAGATCTCCAATTAGTGAATAAAATAATATAGTTTTAATATTTTAGAAATTGTATATATAAAAAAAAAAAAAAAAAAAAAGCCAGAAAACATGTGATAGAAATCAAATTATGTTACTTATCATTTACTTATCAATATGTTTACAATAAACTGAGCTTCAAAATTAAATATCTATTTTGGCCTTGCAATCAAATATTAAAATATATGAATTTGATCTAATTAGTATTCAGTTAGAGTTTCACTTAAAAATTGATTACGAAATAAATCATAACTTTTAATTGTATGTATATTAAATTTATGCCAAAGCATAGCGAGAACTTATATTCTAAACAAACTGAATGAATGTCTATACAATATCTAGCAAAAACTATCAATAATATTTGAAAGAATATAGGTCACATTATGATTTTCAGTCAATGTAACAATACAGATATAAATTATGAAAGGCTGTAAATCCTAACGCTAATAAAAAAAAATAAAATATACATACATATGTATATATATTGTATGAAAGAGATTATTAAACAATTAGGTATAATATATTTTTGCATCGAATGTCTCAGATCCTGATTTTCTAGTTAGATCTAACTAAGTATTCATAAAGAATTTTATCTATCATCTCTTTATACTATATGACCCATTTTCACCTGAGTGACCTGATTTAAAGTTATATAGATAACCTGGGTGATAAATTTGCATCTGGTTCAGACTTCTAAATTTTGCATATTTGGAATATATGTCAGGTTTGTGGTGCAGTAACATTTCTTTAAAGTTCGTTAATGTTAGAGTTAACATTTAGAATAAGATTAAAGTTTGAGTAGATATATAGCAAAATCGCTTGAGAAAAACTTTTTGTTAGAGCTCTAAAGCCGGTTTATTATAAAGATTTTTGAGAAATAGGCAATTTTTGACAAAATGAACATTTGTTTTGAATTTTTCAGATTATATTATATTATACCAGATTTCGAATTCTGATTCGCAGTTTAGGCAATATATACCACAAACCTAATACATATTCTAGATATGCCTAAATTTTATATAGTCAGCAAAATGTTTTTTGAAGATATCTCATGATTCATCAAGCCAATTTTGACGATTTATCTACTATTAGATTTGTCTCGATGAGCTTTACAACTTTAATTAGAAGCCCAAAGATGATTAATTTAGTATGAAAAAAAGTTTTAGATAGAAGCAATACACATTTCAAAAACCCTAATTTCTATATATAAACTGCATCACGTTACACTATGAGCTCTCTCTGGTTGAATGGCGAATTACCAATTAAATTACTATAGAAACATAGTAATTTATTAAGGAAGAGCATCTTTTATTAATGGAAGAGTACTTTCTTCTATAGGAAGTGCACCTTTTAATATTGGATAGGCATTTCTAGATAGTAGATAGGCATCTTAGAATGATTAAAATAATAGATTGGGTACCTTTTACTATAAAATGGTCACCTTTTCTTATAGGATAGACACCTTTTATTATAGTATAGATATCTTTTATTATAGTATAAGCACCTTTGTCAAATTGAGTTTGTTTGGTTTTGTTTGTTTCTTATATTGTTGTTACATCATCCTGGGCTGTCCTGGGCTGTTCTGGGCTGCTACTTGTGCTCGTATACTTTGGTCTGAGTTCTGTTTACATTAAACAAACTAAAAAATTTAAATAACTAAATAACTATTGTTTTAAATAGAATTCTGTG